GCACGTACTGCATGGAGCACTGGGTGTTATACGCAAACAATGAATCGTGGATCACTACATCAAAAACTAATGATGGACTATATGGTGACTAACATAACATAATAAAAAAAAAAAGAAAAAATTAGGTTTTTTTAGTGATACTTTTCATATGTTACTTTCAGATGCTGGTATTTTGGTCTGTTTTATTCTGCATGTGCTAATTTCCTTGGTTAATTTGGAGCACATCTGCATATAATTCTCTGGGCTTTTTATTGGCACAACCTCATAGCTTTTCACAGGACTTCGAGAGTTCACTTTCCAGACAGACTCGGGTTGTATCTAATTGAAATGCCAAACCTACAAAGGTGCCAGAGCCTAAGTGTGTAATTATGTAATTTTCTCTTGATCCTTCAGAGTCTTCCTGCGAGCGATTAATCAGTATGCAGACATGCTGAACAAAAAATTTCTGGATCAAGCCAACTTTGAGCTGCAGGTAAGAGAAGAGGTAGACATGCCCTTTGTTGGGAGATCATGCTAAAACAAATCGCCGATCGGAGCCAGTATCTTAGATTTCCAATTCTCGAACTTAATTGGTTTCCCATGCAAGGTATGGAAATGGAATTTACAAGATGTACTACTGGAACCCGAGGATTGAAAATCATGCCTTTGGAGTATTTGCTCAATTTAGCAAGGAGAGCGATGGAGCGGCTTCAGAGCAAACGTGCGGAATCAGAGTGACAAATAGGGAGTTAGCTGGGAGGCCACCCCTATCTGCTATAGCGGAAGAGACTGTCTCAGACCCAGACCGTCCAATGTGCGGAGGGAGGGACCGGCAGAGGCAGCCAGGCGGATTTGCATCCCTGAGCTCTGCTGGCTTTGAGAACTTGGTTCTCTGCTGCTACCTCTGGTAGCCTTTACCGGGCACAGACCCTCCCCCACATGGCTCTGGGCTGGGTCAGCTGATCTGTCAGTTTGTGCCCTGTTTCTTCAGGGCTTGCAGAGAGAGGCAGGGGAGGGAGAGGAAGGGTGTGTGTGTGTCATAACGATTGATTTTGCCTGGCATGATTTACCACACATCTGGTGTTTGTGGCTTTCAGTTTAATTGCACTCTGGGTGTATTTCTGCTAATAATGATTTTTTTTATTACTTAGCTTACTAAAGTTTCCTGGGCAGGACTGTTCACTGAGAGAGGACCTATGCTGTATTTCTTTTATAATTTTTAAATGGTAAATGTCTGTTTTATCTGCACTATGGAATATAAGTATATATTAATATATCAGGAACTGTAGATCTCGAAGTGTTACTATTTTTTACAGTTTTTAAGATTTTATCATTTTCTCTGCCTGATGCCTGCTTAGGCAAGTTTATCCAGACCTGTGCATGCTTTCTTTTGGCTTTTAACACAAATTGCATTATATCCTGTATTTTTTTTTTCTATTCCATCACATTTAGCAATAGACATGTACCAACATTCGTGCAGGCCCTCCTGCACTGAGGAGGACCTCCAGGCTGTTCCAGTCTGTCCGTGTTACAAGCAATGCATCTCGGTGCTGCATTACTGTAGACAGGCTCCTGGAAGCGTAACTGCCAGGCCGAGTAGTAAGAAAGTGCACGTGAATGGGCAGTGATAAATTATCCTCCTGTAGCGTTTTGCAATCCCACCAACCTTCTTTGAGAGCAGCCACTGTCTAAAACCATCTCTAGGACCAATTTCTTTAAAATCGTTGTCTCTTATTTTTGTTGGAATTTCTCTGATTGCTACTTAGGCTGAGAATACTTACTGGCTGTGTGATTTCTACTGTGAACCATCTGATCATTTCCTGTACTCATTTTTCTATTGGGCTATTTGTCATACTTTTCTCTAAGTTGAAATTCATAAGATAGCCTATTCATGGGTTTAGGCTTATCACACAGAAATTTTTAATTTTTCTGCAGTCGAATCTGTCATTTCTTCTATGCCTCTTGGGTTTTATGTTTTGCTTGGCAAATCCTTCTTTGCCTCAGTGTTATAAATGTAGCTATTTTTTTTTTACGTAGTTAGTATGTGCTAATACCTTTATAATTCTGCCTTTTTTTTTTTTTTAACTTCCTGATGATTACTCTATCTGGGATTTTTCTATTTAGTGTTAGGGCTAAGAGTTTGAACTTAACTTTTTCCCATATCATTTCATGAATAGATTGGTCTTTCCCCATGATTTAAAATGCCACCACAGAAAACATAATTGCAAATGTATCAGTGTGTGTATCCATTCTACTTCCTGGGTCATGACCTTCTGGTTTTATACCCTGCTAGCAGAGCCAGAACTTCCTTATAGAGTGCCACTGCAAAATTATCTTGGCTCTTCTTTTGTATTTCCTTTCCTTTTTTTAATTTTTTAAATTTTTTAAGATTTTATTTGTTTATGGATCACTACATCAAAAACTAATGATGTATGGTGACTAACATAACATAATAAAATTAAAAAAGATTTTATTTGCTTATTTGACGGAGAGAGAGCACAAGCAGGAGGAGTGGCAGGCAGAGGAGAGGGAGAAGCAGGCTCCCCACTGAGCAGGGAGCCTGACACGGGGCTCCATCCCAGTACCCTGAGATCATGACCTGAGTTGAAGGCAGATGCTTAACCACACTGAGCCACCCAGGCGCCCCTTTGTATTTCCTTTTCCATATGAAATGCAAGATCAGCTTGTTAACCTTACTTTTTAAAAATGCTGCATTTATTTTAATTGGGAATCCATTGAGTTTATAAATAAATGTAGGGGATATGTTACGGAATTGGGGGGAATACTTTGCAGTATTTCTTTTTTTCCCATCCCATACCGGAATATTTAGGTCTTCTTTTTGTGTCCTTCATTAGAGTTTTCCATTTTATCCATCTGAGCCTCACCCAGTACCCGCTGGGTAGGTTGTCATGGATGTGAAGAGTAGCTGCTGCGAGTGTGGGGCTCCTTTTTCCCAGCATGTCCCGTATCGCTGCTTTTGTTCACTGTTTCATGAGGAAGGTCCCGAGGCTGCTTCCCTCATGCCCACACACCTCAGCAGCCATGTGCTCTTTGGGCCAACATAGCACCTTGGCCCTTGGCAAGTGTGAAGTGCATAGGGATTGCTGTTCCACCCTGAAACGCCCCCACCCTCCCACCGTCGGTGGCTGGCTTGGGTGCCACATGGCGAAGACAGCCTTCAGTGTGAGCTCCAGGGCTGCTCCGACCAGTCACATTTTTATGTTCTTACATCCTGTTCTTCACCGCACAGTTCTGTCTACTGACGCCTCCTTCTCCCTGAACTCATCAACCCTGAGGGCTGCCTGCCACTTCCCCTTCTGCGTCCTTGTGCTCCGGCCCAGGCTGCCTCCCAGGCCTGGCAATACAGCACAAAGGAGTCTTTACCTAACCCCACCCCCCATCCCCCAGTGTTGTAGTGTGTATTTCCTACAAACAGGAACTTTCTCCTGCATAACTACAGTAAAGCTACCCAAACCAAGCTTACAGGAGTACTACCATCTAGTCCTCAGACCCCGTTCAAGTTCAGACATCCCAGTACAGCTGTCATGGCTCAGCACCAGACAGGTGGGGTTACTTGGCATACCTCAAATCATGCATTGAGTACTATTTTTTGGCTTATATTTTTATGTGATTTTTTTAAAGACTTTTTTTTTAACATTTTATTTAAGAAGAGAGAGTGCACGAGTGAGTGAGCATGAGCAGGGGAAGGGCAGAGGGAGGGAGAGAAAGAGAGAGAAGCAGACTCCCCGCTGAGCAGGAAGCCCAACATGGGGTCAATCCCAGGACACCCGACTCGAGACCGTCCATCCGCTTCACACATAACCCATGGCTTTGGGCGAGTCTCTGCACCGCATCTGAGCATCAGGGGCGCAGCGCTTACCTGGGTAATCTTGCAGCGATCAAATGAGCTGCTGTGTTACTAAAGAAAGTGCCCAGTTCATGAAAAGTGTTAGGTAAATGGAAGAGCACACACTCTTACAACTCTGCTCTAAGATTCCCACTTACTTCACGGGTGACTAAAAATAAAGTCGCTACTGTTAACACCTTATTTTTACATAGTCTTTTGCAGCTATCTCATTTGATATAATAAATAGTATTCCTGTAAAGGAGAAAACCAACACCCCCAGATTTCTTCTAAAGACTGTGGAAGGCCTTTTGAGCTTGGATGTATGATGGGAACTCTGTCCAGGCTCTTTCCCTCCAGGAGCAGGTGGAAGCCCCCCAGACCGTCCTCTGGCACACAAACATGGTGGGTGTAGGAGTTATGTGTAAAGGCCAGGAGTATGTCCAAATCATTCCCATTGGTGATCCAAGAATTCTTCCTGCATCTTGATGTTCTTGACCTGGTCATAAACACTGACATAACCAGGGGTATTAGTTCTGTGACTTTAGGAATCTATGCATATGATGTTTTTAATTAATTAATTTATTTATTTATTTATTTTAGGGGGGAGGGGCAGAGGGAGAGGGAATCTTAAGCAGACTCCCCGTGAGCATGGAGCCTGACGCAGGGCTCGATCTCGGGACGCTGAGATCACAATCTGAGCCCTGACCAAGAGTCGGACGCTCAACCCACTGAGCTACCCAGGCACCTCCATAATGACATTTTTATAGCAGTGCGTCTGGGTTACCGTGTTTAAGGAGACAGAGCTTCCACGGTGCAGAGCTTTATAACAAAGTCATTTCATAGTAAATTGTCTGTTAAGCACATATCGTCTATAAGTCTTTGAAATATAAAATGTTTGATGTTTTTACAACTCTTTTCCTTAGTTACCTAGTGTTTATGTACATTTTTGGTGTCTGAAAAAGTCATAAATTACAGAAATTATGTACTAGTAAAGAAGGGGCTCCATGATGCACTAGTAACAGGAGCCAACATTCTCGTGTCCTTTCCGCACGCTCGGCAACCCCCAGAAGCCTCTGCCCCTATTCACTCCTGTGATCCTCTGACAGCCCCAGGAGACAGGCACTGTAAGACTCCCCCTTTACCTCTCAGGAAACCGAGGCACCAGGAGGTTAGATTAGTTGCCCGAGGAAGTGGCAGAGGTAGAATTTGAGCACGCGCACTGTGACCTTGGCGCCCACCCCAGCCCTGAACCACACCGTGGCTGGCTGGCCAGCCACCTGCATGGAGTGAGTGTGGATTTCTAAACATTTCAGAAGTGTGTGCAGGGCAAATGAGGAATGCCTCAGAACGTTTTGAGACCCACTATTAAGCTGTTCAGCACCTCAGCATCTCCCCTTTTTTGGTTTTCAGCTTTGGAACAACTACTTTCACCTGGCTGTCGCTTTCCTCACTCAGGAGTCCTTGCAACTGGAGAATTTCTCAAGCGCGAAGAGAGGCAAAATCCTTAACAAGTAAGTCTGCATCCAGTCCTGAAATCACGGGCAGGAGCCTGCAATTCTATTAGCATCATTTCTGTGTAGTCTCTAAGCCAACTTGGTATGCAAATTGAGATGTAATAATCATGGTGTCATGAAAGGTTGGTTTCAAATCCCGAATCTGGTGTTGCCTTTTCTAACCCATGAATCAGGATCTAAAACTGCAGGGTTCGTTCTGGTGAGTTCCGAGTCTGTGTAGTTCACCATTAGCACCACCCAGAATGGGAGTTTCAGGAGGATAATTGCCTCTGCCCTGCACCATTCTGATGTCTTTCCACGTGTGCTTTTCTTTATCGTCTGCTTGTGCAGTGCTCCTTCGAGAAAGGAAGCATCTCGTGCAAGCTGTTGGCACAGTTGGGATTGTTGAAGAACTCCTTCAGAGTGAGAGCTGCCTGGGGTTTCCTCCTTTGTGAGAGGCCACCCATGTCGTGCTCTATGTGGGAGATCCGAAGGGCTGGACTAGTCCTTGGATGATCCTAACAAACCTCTCGGAAGCCCCGCGTCCCTGTCTGGGTCCTTCGGCTCTGTGTCCTGCATGGCTCCTGGCCCAGGACAAAGAAAAGAACGCTTGCATGCTTTCTTTCCACACTTTAGGTGCCCCGGAGGGTCTTGCTGCCTCTCTTTCTGCCTCGGTTTCCCTGACTTCTCTCTTCTCTGAGCGCCCCTTTTATAAAGGCTTTAAAGATTTTATTTATTTATTTGACAGAGAGAGACACAGTGAGAGAGGGAACACAAGCAGGGGGAGTGGGAGAGGGAGAAGCAGG